GAAAATCTATACAGTGAATCTCCAGTTATTTATTAACTGATTCAAATGATCCACTCACCAGTAAATGATTCACTAATTCAAATAATACATTCAGAGTGTCTCAAGTAAATGAGTCACTTATTTAAATTATTTGTTCAGAGTAAGTCTCCAGTAAAAGATACAGGTTTAAATAATGATTTTAGAGCAAGTCTCCAGTAAATGATTCACTGATTCAAATGATCTGCTCAGAGAGAATGTGCACTGATTCTGATTCACTGAGTTAAACAATCTGTTCAGAATCAATCTCCAGTATATGATTTACTAATTCAATTGATCCATTCGGAGTAAATCTCCAGTAAAAGATACAGATCTAAATGATCCATTCAGAGTGAGCCTCCAGTAAATGACTCATCGATTCAAACGGTCCATTGAAGCAAGTTTTTTCTAAATGATTTGCAGGTTTAAATGACTTATTCAGAGTGAGCCTCCAATAAATGATTCACTGATTCAAATGATCCATTAAAAGCGAGTCTCCTATAAAGGATTTACAGGTTCAAATGATCCATTCATAGTGTGTCTCCGAATAAAGGATAAAGATCCAAATGATTCGTTCAGAGTGAGCCTCCAATAAATGATTCAATGATTTAAATGATCCATTAAAAAAAGAGTCTGCCATAAATGATTAACAGCTTTAAATGATCCATTCAAAGTGAGTCTCCATATAAAGGATACAGATCCAAATGATTCGTTCAGATTGAGCATCTAATAAATGATTCAATGCTTTAAATGATCCACTAAAAGTGAGTTCCCAGAGGAGGATTCACTATTTCAAAGGATCCATTCAGAGTGAATTTCCAGTAAATGATTCACTAATTCAAATGATTCAATCTGAATGAGTCTCCAGTAAATGATTCATTGATTCAGAATATTTATTCAAAGTCTCCAGTAAAATATACAGATTCAAATAATTGACTCACAGCAAGTGTCCAGTAAATGATTCACTGATTCAAATGATCCATTTAAAGCAAATTTGCCATTAATGATTCACTGATTCAAACGATTCATTAAAAGTGAGTCTGCCATTAATGATTTACTTATTTAATTAATGCATCTCCAGTGGAGGATTCGCTGATTTAAATGATCCATTCTCAGTGAGTTTCCAGTACAAGATTCACTGATTCAAATGATCCGTTCAGAGTGAGTCTTTAGTAAATGTTTCACTGATTCAAATGATCCGTTCAGAATGAGTCTCCAGTAAATGATTACTGATCATTTGAATCAGTAATCATTTACTGGAGAATCTCTAGAGTGAATCTCCAGTTAATAATTAACTGATTCAAATGATCCATTCACCAGTAAATGATTCACTGATCCAAATGATCCATTCAGAGTTCATATTTCCCCATATTCTATGGTATATGAGAATATTTTTTCTCATATTCAAGGAAAAATCACATCATTTTATGACCATAGATGCATTTAAACCCTTTTGTAGGGGATTTCAGCAGAATATTAGGACACTTTAAAATACAAGATGACCTGCTCTTTAATTGCACGCAGTATTCGGTCAAAAACGCAGAAAAATGTCTGAAAGCGTGATTGAGGGATCTGAAGATGAACATCAGCTCATGCATGAAGGAGATTCTTCATTCATCTGCACATTAACAAGACTGATGCTGCCGGAAAACCCCTAAAAACTCTGAACATGTGATCGAACACGCAATTAAACAGATGATTTAGGGCGATCAGAGGGGATTGTGGGTAAGGACGGCCAGGTAAGGAGGCGCGTGCAGGAGATTTACTGCCGTTTCTCAGTGTGATTTCCGGCTCTTGTGGAGGTGTCATTACGAGCGTGTGTTATAAAGCGTAATGAATGGCCCTGCAGGAGTCGTTTGTGATAATGAAGATGAGCTTGACCTGCGCTAATGTTCATGACTGCTTGCGTGTTCATCCTCATATCAGCTTCATTCAGATCACATGCAGGACACTTTTAGAGGAGAAATGCCAAAGAGAATATATATATATAAAAAAAAAAAAACTAACTAGTCTAACAGCATCAGGAGAAATAAACACACACATACACAAACTGTATACTATAGTATTTTACTTTGCAGCATTTGATTAAAAAAGGTATATAAATGCTAACTTGTCATTGATAATAATAATAAAGTATATTTATATTATATATACACATTTATAATATAATATAATATAATATAATATAATATAATATAATATAATATAATATAATATAATATAATATAATATAATATAATATAATATAATATAATGTATTATAAAAAAGTATATTTTATTTAAAGTATGTGAAATATTTAATATAACTTTTACATTTGTATATTTCACATAATGCACACTAAATGCACAATAACATACTAAATAATAATATATACTTAATAGTACATTAATAGTAAGTTAAATATTTTATATAACTTTTATAATTTTTTGCACAATAAATGCACAATAATCATTATAATAAAAAATAATATAATAATAAAACAATACAAAAAATTACATATATATATTCAAACGTAAATATATAAATATCTCCCACACATACATGCTTATAATATAATATAATGTAATGTAATGTAATATAATAAACTGTAATATAATATAATATACTGTAATATAATATAATATAATATATTATAATATAAAATAATATACTATAATATAATAAATATAATATAATATAGTATACTGTAATATAATATAATATAATGTAATATAATATAATGTAATATACTTTAATATAATATAATGTAATATACTGTAATATATTAAAATATAATATAACAATATAATATACTGTAATACAATATAATGTAATATAATATAATGTAATATAATTTAATAAAATATATTCTAATATAATATAATTCTTAGCATTAAATTGTATAGCATACAAATGTATAATGATGTATCTATTGACAACAAAAAATGTTATAGATTTATATATAATTTAATAAAGTGGATAATCTACAAATGTACAAAATAAAATAATTATATTTTATATATATTATATTTTAATACAAATCTATTTAATACAAATTACAATAAGAACTAGTCTGTAACCATGTGTGTGAATATCATTTTGTTATAAACAGCTTTTTTATTAACAGAACTGAAAACTCAAAGTGATCCACTACTACAGTGCCTTCAGTTTTGCCTCAGTGAAACGCTGCGCAACACATGGCCATTCAGAAGCACACTTCACTCATAACTTATTGATGAAATTTCTTTGTGCACAGTAACACCTGATGTGTGTACTGCGATACGGTGAATTAATAATCCAGTGAGTCTTAAAGAATTTGTTTTCCCGTCTCTAAGAGGAAGTGAAATGTCACGTTTCTATATTTAGTCGTGGACAGATATTTTGTTTTGAATAGGAGCAAATACAAGAGTGAAGGTCAGACGGGTGGAGAGACGGACTAATGACGCCACACACACACACACACTCAAAAACACACACACACACACACACACACACACACACACACACACACACACACACACAAACACACACACAAACACACACATAAACACACACACAAACACACACACAAACACACACAAACACACACACATACAAACACACACAAACACACACACACACACAAACACAAACACACACACACACACACAAACAAACACACACACACACAAACACACACACACACAAACACACACACAAACACACACACACATACAAACACACACAAACACACACACACATACAAACACACACAAACACACACAAACACAAACACAAACACACACACACACACACACACAAAAAACACAAACACACAGATCAGACGAGTATTGAGTTAGTTGCTTCAAAAAAGAAACTAATTACTAATTATGGAAGGCACGGTGGCACAGTGAGTAGCACAATCGCCTCACAGCAAGAAGGTCGTTGGTTTAAGCCTTGGCTGGGTCAGTTGGCATTTCTGTGAGTTTGCATGTTCTCCCGGTGTTGGCGTGAATTTCCTCCGGGTGCTCCGGTTTCCCCCACAAGTCCAATAACATTTGGTATAGGTGAAATTGTCCGTAGTGTATGTGTGTGAATGAGTGTGTATGGATGTTTCCCAGTGAAGGGTTGCAGCTGGAAGGGCATCCGCTGTGTAAAACATATCCTGGATAAGTTGGTGGTTCATTCTGCTGTGGAAACCCCAGATTAATAAAGGGACTACGCCGAAAAAGAAAATGAATGAAATAATTATTAATTACATTAGCAAAGCTGAATTTCTAATTCTTATAAATTAGTGTGTCTGAAAAGTAATCTGATTACTTTTAATTCAAGGACTCAACACTACTTAAAAAGCTCTTTTAATACTTTAAATGTGAACCAAACAGGAGCTCTTTGCTTTATTAACCCTTGTGTGCTGCTGGGGATGTTTGCATGCACTCTGGGCTGATTTTGAGGCTTAATTTTCTCAGTGATTCAGCAAATGAATGATTTTTGGTGACAAATCTTATTTTGATGCATAAGTTTTCAAAATTTCAACAATACACTCTGGGCAAATTGACTACCTTTTTGTTTTGTTGGGGCTGTTTTTGCCCTATTGACTTCCATTATAATGATATTTTTTTATTGCAAAGCCATGACACCATATAATCATGCATTTGCTGAATC